AGTCTGCTGTCGTAGTCTCCGCACGCCTTCTCCTACCATCTCTGCATCCAGACCGTCCAGCCTTCAGTCTACATACTGCACACTAATCTGTCGGCACAGATGCGAATAACCGCATGCCTTTCATTCTGCAACATCTGCACTTTCCTGCAATGCAACAAAACCACATCCACGTACTTGCTGCTCTCCACATGACAGCCAGCCAGCTTGCGACTGTAGAGCCTAACGTGCGTCTGCCCGGCCGGATTCGCACAGTGTCCCACCCACATATACCTACCCGGAGAGCGATCCAGAGTGCTATAAAATGTTGGCATGTCTCCTGCAAGAACAAAGAATGGCTTCCGCTTTGATGCAACGCACTATCTATGCCCCAAAGAGGAATATGTGAGCATCATGCGCCTCCGATCAATGGGGAGGCGAATGATGCTCCCGCACGTCATGCAGAGTGAGGGTGCTGATATCCGTTTTCCACGCAAGATGTGACCTTGGAAATGTAGTCGCATGACTGTTTCAGCGAGCACGCGACAAGTGCTAGGCGAGCAGATGCGCAGCCACGCAATACAACGCCAGGGGAAGCCACGTCAAAAACGTCATAGCTGTCTCCCGTTTTAGCACTCATGCACGGCACCCGAAAAAGCATTCAAATGAGTCTAGAATAACTAACCATCTGAATGTCAAGCAACGTACATGCATATAGGTAGAAGACCGTTAAATGAGGGTTTTTCAAGAACTGAATATTGGATGTACAAGCCATGTACCTTCGAACTAGTGTTCCCTTCTGATAGATATGTTACCGGCAGCCAAGAGGCTATCTTTACCGGTCACCCCCATACCCCCACAGGCATACGCACCTCACGTCAGCACCTGCTACCCTTTTGCTACGACAACACCTATAAGAACAAAATACCAACCAAACTACCGCCACGTTGTGCTGACCCCTTTGCTTTGAGAGACCGTTGGACTATTGTGTAGAAGAATGGCTATGTGGAATTGCGTCCCAACAGCTGGACTTGCACGCGGCTAGCTATGCAGGCAGCACTTCGCGGCACTCTCCGAGTGCGCCAACCTACAAGCTATACAGAAAGAGCCGACGCATATGACAATCGCCCAAAACGCCTCGAGTTTTTGCGCCCCATGCAAAAAATAGCTGGGCACGGAGAATCACCTATCGGAAAAATTGTATTACTAATGCCAGCTGCAGGTGCAAATCTGGAATAGAAAGACTTCAAACGCAATGAGCACCGGTCCGCAGCAATTGATAACTTCTTAGCAATGCGTCTAGTGAGCAAACCTGTGCCTTTAACATCAACAAAATACCCCACAGACCACTCAGGGTCCATCATATGTTACCAGGAGTACCGATGCAGTATTGGGGTCGTCTTTGTTTCAGACGAGTTGCCCCTGCTTTGGCGGTACAGGCTATCCTGTCTCGCGCACTGCGAGGAGACGGAGCGATACCATAATCAACAATGCTACAGGGGATTTTGTAACGCACGCGCTTAAGAAATAAATCCTGATTTCTTCTCCGCTGTGCAGTAGAAGCAAGAAACAGCACTTTAAATGTTGTGGAACCATTCAAACGATGCATGTGGGAATGTGTAGATGGCCGTCAGGCTCAATCGTTCCACATCATGATCCTTCCATGTGCAGGCTCCCTTTCCTCGACGCTTGCTGGGGGACTTCAAGAAACAAAAGGGAGAACACCACGCCACCGAAGTGCACATACACTTCGTTTGCAAACATCCATATATCATAAAAGAAGGGTCGGGTTCTACGCATGTAAACGTTGCATCTTTCTCTCATAAGAGCCTACAGCCTGAACAGTTCACGCGGGAGCCCTTCACGTATAGATTGCTTTTAAACAGAACGGTACATTTAAAAGCCATCCCCTCAGACACTAAGGGCAAAGACCCAAATGGCATGCAGCATTCTCCCTGGAGTCGGTCTCGCTGCACCATTGCAACAAAGCTAGATATCATACACAAATCCCGTGGTCAGAACACTCAAAACAGCACTTTTCAGCAACGAAGCAGAATAGGCGCGCTGTACAAGAGCTTGCACAGCCTTCCAAGATCGAAGCTCACTTCCTGCCCGATGCACCAAACCAAGTATATGTCGTAACGATAAACAAAGAAAGAAGTGCGTGCTGCTTCGTTCGCCTCCGACACAGCAGTTTGCAAGCTCCACAAAAATCTCAGCGTACTGAGTCAAGAGAAAAATATGTATGGAAGATCAGACATCCTCCGCATGGGCGGCAGCTCTAAAAAGAGGAGATATGAGCAAGTAGCGCAACACACGTACATTAATATATATCTTTCAACAGCATGATGTCACAAAAGGGCCTAGCAACGCAACAAGACTACGAACCCAGGCAGCACCATGGGCTGGCTCAAAAGGCCCATCCCTCGTGGGCGCTTCATTTCTCTACACTGCAACGGAAGAGCTACTGTGGTCAGGTCTGTGGCTATCCGCACCTGAATTTAGTCACACACTCCGCCTCGTCTGGGCAGATATATCAAGCCGTGAATCTGGTGACCCACAGCCTGCGCTCATGAGTGCTCTCCAGAGTGCGCCAACCCAAATTCACGCATGGTCCTCCCGACCAACCACAAGGAATCACGTATTCACTCTGATGGCCAGCACAGAGACGATACATACGCCATGCCCCGCGAGGCCTCAACACCTGGAAAAACACATTAACACGAACCCATGCCAATATATGCCTGGCCTGTCTTTGGAGATTTCACTTTGATTAGGTCACGGTCCAGAGAGCAGCCCAAGTCAAAAGCTGTGCTTCGCGTGAATTAGACCAGCAACTGCGCAGTTGGTCATGCGTGATACACGGAATCCCTTTTTCCAAAACCGTTTCAAACCGTACCTTCTGAAAAATAAAAGGGAGCGAAGGTAGACTCCACACCATTTTAGGCATGTCGTACACTATCTTCTCATCTTATTAGCTGATGCCCCATCTTCCCCGGTTAACAGCGATAACACCTAATAGCAGGAGGGGCTAGTCTGCCAATGAGGAAAATTACCTTCTGTTTCGAGCAGGACAGCAACATGCTCTACGTTTGCATTTGTATTTGCTGAAATCCCTCCAACAGATACACGAAAATCTCTACAGCGGCCGAAGGGTTCCATAGGCGGTGTGGCGTCCAAGCCGCATATTCTTGTCAACCTAAGCCGACTGAGTAATGCCTACGGGTATGCTGGCACTAACGGATGGACAACTAACTATCACACGCACTGGGCAACCAGATGCCTATGCTCGTGAGCATCTTGCTGCAGGGACAAAGAACTGACGAGCTGGTAGCAGGCCAAACGTGCACCTAATGCACTACCGCCGCATAGCACACTGTACTTTTTTGAGTGAACGCCACCTGTGCAGCTAAAAGGGCACCAACTGCTGGACCTCTTTGCTGATACACCGAGTACTATGGCTCTGCCGACGTCCTAGGGCGAATGAGCCAGAGGCACAATGGAATAATTTGCTAAAGCTAAAGCTAAAGCTCTAACTGGTGAAGCAGCCGGAGCCTTCATCGATTAAAAGAGAAGCGTGCCTTACTTCAATGCCCATCTGCAAGCCTGATAGTTATCTGGCGTATTCGTCATACGCAGGTCACAGGTATCAGTAGGGTGTTACTGTCCACGACGGTGAGAAAGCAGGGCCTGCGGTGTGTCAGTTCAGCAAACCAAAACAGACGTCCTCGACAGAGTATTCAGCAAGAACGTATGCCCCTACTCGTGAGAATATGGCGGCGCCTGCCCCGCACGTTGGTGCATTCTCCCGACTTCCATACGATGACACGCTTAAGTGTCCATTGAGGACATACACTGCCACTCTGACGTGTGAACAGAGCCCACTCAGATAGAACAAGGCAGTGAACAGGGATGCTCCAACGCACAGTCTGCAGATGCCGCGCATTTGAGCCACCCCCAAGACGGACATACGCCAGACGGCTTTTCCCCTGCCTACACTGTGTATAAGCATTCCAACGTCTAGGGCATAGCTGAACGCAACCGATAACGCACCGGAATTTCCTACTCTCGCCTACGGCTGTCACGAGTCCAACATGTCAGCTCAAAGCTTAAAATGCGCGTTTAGGTACGAGCGGCTCCCGAAGGTCATGGCCGAACTTCCACTAATGGCAAAGTGGGCTGTACCAGGCACATGCACCAATGGCGCGCGTTGGTGCTTGCTAACACATGGAAACCAAGTGCACGCGGCCTACATGGTGGAGGACTTGGGTTGAGACGCTTGTCCGGTGGTAAAAACCAAATGAACACGGCCTAAACGTCGACGGATGATGTAAAGACCCTTTTTGACCCCGCAGAGTGGGCTGAAAAAAGTTAGGGGCTCGGACCAAAACTCACATCCTGTCCGCCAAGAAATGCCGCCCCCAGTACGCCATTAAGTTAGTTCGCTTATGGCGCCCGACGCTGCGGCAAAAAGTAGGCAACTCATATGGTCCGCAATACTACGATGCACGCAAATCAAACTTTGTGTATGCAAAAGACCCAGAAGTTAACCGTGTTGCTTTTTGGCGGTTTGAAGAGATGGCCACGCTTGGAATATTTTGGAGCTGTGAATTGGAGGGTCACAAGGGTGGCCTACACGCTACATCAAACAAGAGGCGGCAGCTCAAACAGTCAAAATATATGGGCTGTCACTCCGTTCCGAGAAGCGCGCACCGTCACCAACGCCAACGTGTCGACAACCCGTGGACCGCAGATAAAAAGAGCGTCCCATGCACACACGACCAGCGTTGCATCCCCGCAAGCTCAACATAACAACATAACAAAACATGCAGCTCGTCCCTGCCAGACAGACCTCCCAGACGCGCAACGACTCACGAGCTGTATTGCCACAGCATGGAAGCACATCTTTCATGCATTACTATTGAAACAGTGGTACGCATGGCTGCACAGAAGTATACCGAACGACCAGTCATTTCCAAGGTGACAAGGCCGTCGTGATTGGTTACGTTTAAACCGTCAGGGCCCTACAACTTAACCCCTACACTCCCGCAATACAGGCCAAAACCGTCACCTCTAGCGGTGCTGGAAACTTGCGTTCTGGAACAACGACATGGCAGACGATGCAAACAGAATGAGAAAGCCTGAACGTAATCCAGGCAGTAACGCTTGAAAGCTAATTATATATAACTGCTGAAAATTGACCTCGTGCTCACGCCCAGCATAAAAAGCGAAACCAAGGAACGCATCCACCACGGTATGCAGGTACAACTCTTCGACCATCACCTGAGCCACTGCCAATGCACACCCCGTTCAACGTCTTGAGGAGGGCGGTTGACGACAGCCAACTCAAAATCGTCTTGAATTGAAAACGCACTTCCTGAGTCGGCGCTTCCGCAACGCTGTCCAATCGGCCGGTGTAGGCTTCTTGCACCAAAAACCTGGCAGTATTTCACGAGGCTGTGAAATCTGTCTGTGAAGACCCCGTGCACGTGAAAGCTGACAGTCTTCCGCAACACTGTAGCTACACGCTCACGATCCTTCTTGCTACACCAGTAGCACCTGTCCGTGTAGTCTCCAAGCTTCGCGGCAATCCATCCCGTCAACCGAATGTGATGCAGTCCACGTCTTACTATGATCTACTGAGGGCATGACACTTCGACAAACGCATCGGTAAAACGCCCTGGATCTGTACTATGCGCTTACAATCTGATCTTCCTCGTTCGTCAACCGCCTGTGACCTGCCTGAACCTGAACAGAACCACAACCAGTGTGCCGCGTCAAACCGCTTTCCAAACTTTATTGCAACGTCGTTCTTCTTCTGCACCACGGGCAATCCCAGGTGAACTGGCTTCGCTGGCAGATGCAGACCATGGTCACTCCCTAGGTGCATTGCTTAAGACTCTGCTTTCATGCCACATCGGGCTACTGGAGGTGTTTTGGGAGGCTTATCGTACCTTTTGTAAAGAAAAGCCAACACCTCGTGCGCCAAGACGTTCGTTTGAATACTTAACAGTCCCCTTCTTCCATAACCAGGGGTGAGCCATAAGACATGGACAAATGCATCTAAGAGAAACAACAAGTTTCTGAGTGCATGCCTAGATATTTGCCACGCTTTGTGCCTTTGAAAGACACTTTTTTCCAATATTAGTTCAACCGCCAACACGTTTAGCAGTCCTGCAGAAAGCCGTGAAAATACGAACACGCCAAGTTCGTCAGCAACATGGATTTCCGGTGAATCGGTATTTCCTTTTTCGCATATAAGCACAGTGGTATGCATTCTTGCTGCAATGTGCGTTGAGCAGCCTTGGAGACCCACCTCCTGAGCCAGGCACCTGCACACACTTGCTGAGCCAAGCAACTGCCGCTCCTCTTTGCCACGCATGACTTGATACAAAATCGCATGCCCATGAATGTTCACTCTCAAATACATAGTTCATTCCTAAATACATGCACACAAAAACTGGAAGGTCACATAGACCAGCAAAAGTTCGTTTCAGCGCCGGCAACGAACACACCAAATCGTCAACACCTTGTCCCTTCATCTTCTCATCCACCCAACAAGAACCATCAGGGATAAGAACAGCTACGGTTGAGCGTGTACCAATCCTTGGCAAAATCCCACGCCATCTACCAATGCACACTTGTGCTTGTAGATGCGTCTGCGCACTTCCTGCTCGCGGCAGCACCTGAGCGCTTCCACGCAGATTCTTTTGTTTAGCTAGCTGTACTTCTATATCCACAGCAGATATAGCTAACCCGCTGAATTTATGCCCACTATTTTGCGCTGTTAACGTGCCCGTAGATGCGGCATTAATTGTTCCTGCAGTTTGGAAGTTCGCCACCCGAACAAACATACTCTCTAAGGATGCCAGAACGGTGTAGACGAACACGACCTATCGCATCTCCGAAGCACTTTCACATGCTGGCGTATTTCTTTTTAACACAGCAAAATGGAATATCAGAAACGGTCTAGCTGTCCGTAGTGCGGCCCTGATGCCTGCATTCTCAAGTGTCCAAAGTGAAGGCATCGCATAGTAATGAACTCCACCTGCGTCATGAGCTAATCGAGTCAAGGAACCTACTTGCTGCAGATCGGCCAAAGGAACATCGCATCCATCTTGCAATCACGGCATTATAGTGTTTCGCCAAGGCAAACGCAATGAACGATAACGCAACCCATAATCCATTACTCAGTAGCAACCGCTGAGCTGAATAAATGAACGTGGTGTAGCAGACACTGACACTACCTTCTTGGCTGTCCCCTTCTTGTTTTCACGTGTCCTTGAGCATCCTGCTAAGCCCAGCCGTGACCCGAAAATAATATGCCGACCCCGCACAACACGAGCAAAATGGCAATTCTAAGAACAGCTATCCCGTATGCGTCCTTCTCAACATGAATCGTTCAGTTCCCCATGAAACATTTAATTGATCCACAAATCCAAACGACGATGTGCGGACTGAGCTGCCACATGCGTCGACCTCCAACGACGTCCCCTGGCCCCTACTGTACCAAACGGGGACAGACAAATTGCACAACACTCTCTTTCACGCGCTGCCTACGAATTCATGTGGCCCCCGTTGCTAAGCACCACGAGACGTCGGTGCGCTTTCGTGTGTCTACGCAGAAGGACCAGGACAAAGGGTTTCCGGATTACCTTCTGCGCTCTACTACTTACTCTCTATACATTCATGGACGCTCACATGCATCGAAGCTGAAGGACAGAAGCGGTCATTCCTTACCTGAGCTATCCCTCCAGTCTGCAGAAAGCCCAAACATGCATCCATGCAAATATGAAGAAAACGCTTGTGCAAAAGGGTATACCAGCTAACCTCAAGCTACGCCAAATGTTTCGATCTTGGGAAGTGCACCTCCGTGCGAATGACCCGACGGAAGCGGCAAGGCAGTACTAGTAGGCAGTATGAGGGGAAGCCCAGGATGATTAGCAACGCAGAAGCACAGCATCACTCGCCTCAGGTGAGCGTCAAGGGTTTATGCTCGACAGGCGTCGCGTTTAACTCGCTTCCAAAAGTAACGGGAAGCTGCTGAACGGACTTGCTGAGCAAATTAGAGACATGCCAAATCCAAATGGCACGCAGGTGAAATACGTTGTATGTTGCTTGTTCAGCTGCTTCTGCGAGTTACTGCTCTCCCCCTTCACAGCCGACGACTCAGTTGGCTGCGTGCTCCCGAACCGCGCAAACAGAAGCCTTCAGAGGGTTGCCATGAAGCAGTGCTGGAAACAAAGCTGCCGCGATGTAGCTCCTTTGAGCGTATAGAATCATAAAGGCTACATGCAAGCCCTAGCTCTATTTTTTGTTGAATTGCAAGATAGTGGGTACCACCAGTTCCAGCAGGCCAAAGACGTGGTATTGTCATTTGGATCTGCAACTGATTCAAGGATAGCCTCCTGTGCTGATTGCAATCCCTAGTAGCAGAATCACCCAATCGAGTGGTTTCCGATCTGTACTCACCAGGAATAGGAGCAAATACACTGCACTTGGCAAGATGAAGGTGCTCAGCGTTTTCCTGAACTATAGCTGGAACTGCTTTATCAGTTCGAATTCGCACAATCTTCGTCAAGCATTTCACAGGCTGGTTGGTGCAAGAATTCTCACGCACGTTCAGCGCACCGCCAACCATTTCTGGTTGCTCAGACCTTCCGTCGAAGGAACAGCTCAATCCAAGAGGACTGCTGAGGGTATTTGGGCTGGCAACAGTACGTTGGCCGGGTGCCGATCAAAGACATATACTAAATACCCGCCCGAAGCACGTTTTTCGTTAAGCCTTCCAGGCTGGCTGAAGCAATAACACTTGCTCCGTTAGCCCCTGATACACCACTCACTTTCTGCGGTGCAGACACTTTTAAAATATGCAGCGCTCTCAGCCACCAAGATCCCAGCCAGTTGCTTTCATCTGCAGGTAAAGTGAGCGTTTACTCGTGATCGTCACCTTGTTCCCTGGTCACAAACAACCATACAGCGAGACGCTGTTCGCAACCTGCGTGGGACTCACGGCCTGTTAGCATATCCAAGCACACTGCTCAACGAAGAAGGTTAACCTTCAAACCTCCCTTGCGACCTACTGAACTGTTCACTTTCAGGGAGGATGGTGTATTATATAAACCTTTACTTAAGCATGTTACGGCAAAATCGATTATCCACGTGCACTGGCAGGTTACGAAATTTTCCGTGGACTGTTTTCTCAACTTTTCGGGAACGCGGACCAAGGACAGACCAGAGGCAATCATTTGTAACGGCAAAGCAAGACAGACCGGAGGAAGTGTCTCGCGCTAGAATGTATTAAACACCTAACTGCCTTGGCGCAAAACACAGTTGTAACCGCACCTGAGAGGACTGGCAGGCTTATGCTCACTTCGCGAGACCGACTGGAATATCTTGCGGAGCTATCTTCCAGTGTATGTAATGGCGCCGCTTCCGTAACACGGTCCTTTTCAAGCGCCGGTCGCGGATGCCTTGCATAACTCACCGCCTGTGTATGGATGTTTTTAGCGATCCCGCACCTTTCCTAATTCCAGGAGTGAACAGCCGTCTAAAGTGTCTAAGGAAGGCCACGCAGTCATCCTCGAGCACTGTTCAGTCATCTATCATTGAACGCCAAAGTGGACGAAAGAGCTGTGGATGGCACTCTATCAGAATGCCCTTCCCCTGTTAAGTGGAGGCGTAAACAGGTAGGTAAGTGGATTGACGGCAGCGCGACCGCACTTGCTAGGTGGAAAAGAAGTCCGTTATTGGCATGCTGCCACAATTGAAGCATGTCTCTGCCATTGTTCAGTGGTGTCCTGCTTGACTCCACGGACTCTCTCCAGACGAACTTTCTGCAGCGCAGAGAGACAAGACAAGAAGCTTTAGAGCTGACGCAAGGCAAGCCCCCTGCCGTCCAACGACGCAGACCTAGAACCCAGTGAAGCCATCACTTTCTTTACCAGCGGCTAAGTGAACAAGCCTCTCCCGCATGATTCATGGTTATGACTGACTCAAGAAACAAGAGATCATACCAAAACACCTACCGAATGATTTTGGGTACACCGCACTCGAGAAACGAGGCACTGTTCCATCCAGTTGTCCCTACACCGTTGGCAACCGTCGAAGTGACTGTTTGTCTACAAGGGATATGCGGGATCACGCGCCAAAACGTTTTTGCAGCATTTTCGCTTCACACCCCTAACGATGAAGCATGAAACAACTCAACTCCATGTAAACAAACAACATCCCTGGGAAGATCGTTTGGTGTGGATGGAAAGAATACCGCATATGCGTACTAGTCAGCTCCAACACTACATCGAAATCTCTGAGGTATCGTTCACACTAAAACGACTGTTTCTTGTGCGAATTGTCTCCAGAAGGAAAGAGCCCTCCTGCTTTCGTGTTCTGCAACTGCGCCGCAAACTAAAAATACCGAGAAGCTCACAGCCTGCATTCGTGAGGTAAGTATATCCACGAACAAATCGATTGCACCAGGACTACCGAATGCCCCGATTGTATCGCCGTCGGTACAACTGCTGAAGGTCCGCATGTGTGCTGAACATCCGCTGACAGTCATCTACCGGGTTGGGAGGCGTGTTTTAGATTGGGCTCACATTGGCCGTTAGTCCAGATGCTGCGTCGCATGCGCTACGCGAGTTATTCGAAAGAAAAGCATGACACTAGCAAGACGGACCTTTAGCAGCTTTCCCAGAAAGACCACTCACTTTCTATAGTAGTAACCCCACAAGAGCTCCAATGTTCCAGTTAACGCCTGTTTTACACTAGCAGCTCTGCACCGCCTTGTTTATGGAATGTCATGACAGTAGGGAGATACGTATAGTCGTCTGTTTAGGCCTTTTCCATTGTGTCAACTGGGAAAGAGTGCTAACTTACTGCCTATTTCAAACAGCGAATACGTTTAAGCCACCCCCAAGCACCTAGACGTAGCCAACTGAAGTTGGTAAAAGCAAACAATGCACTGCCTGGATCAGCCATCATCGGGCGTGGGCCAAGGCGAAGCATCTCTCAGAGAGTGTGAAGACTAAAGGTTGCAGCAGCA